TGGAGGGGGCCGAGGCACCGACACGGCCAGGGATGGGATATCTGCAGGGTGCGGATGGGGACTGACTCTTCCCCTTGGTCTCCTCCGTGCTGGGGTTTCCCCATGGGACAGCTGCCAGCCCTCCGTCCCCTTGGGCAGTGGTTTGGGTCGTCCGTTCGTATCTACGAGCTTTCAGTCGCCTTTCTCGGAGCCTTTGCAAAGGGCTCTGCAGGGGTGGACACTGCAGCTTTGGCCAGGGAGGTTCCCTCTCCCCAGAAAAGGGGTTTGATGGTGGGTTCGCAGCAGGTTTTCTTGTTCAGTTCGCAGCAGTTTCCCCTCTTCCTTCCCCAGCTGTGTCTGAACGCCCTCAGCCCTCTCCATCGCTTCACCCAAGCTTTTTTTTTTTTTTTTTGGCTCTTCGGCAGCATCTTCAGATGATCTTTGGGATGAGCTGGAGCCGGTGCTTCCCCGCGCTCAGAGCTGGCTTCTGAAAGGTCCCCAGTGTCTCCATGGTCACTCTGCTTCTCTCCCAGTCTGGGGCTGGAGCTGAACTGCTTTATTCTCTGCAGATCTCCAATAATCGCTGCGGGAGGAGAGGTCGGGAGGTCCCACGCCACGCGGCTCCCGGCAGAGCGTCCCCTTCGTGGCATCAGCCACAGTGACCCGGCAATGGGGACGAGGACCTGGGGACAGGGACCTCCAGCTCCCGTGGGCTGCAGCAAGGAGGTGCCACCCTGCTGGGGCTGTTCCTCTGATCGCTTCCAATACTGCAGGGCACTCAGCTGGCTCATTAAGGGTTGCTGGGCTAATTAGTAGGATACATCTCAGTAGGAAAACGGGCAAATCGGACAGCGTGGGGACCGGAGAGGCACGCTGCACCGAGGAATCCGAGACGCTGCTTTGCAAAAGGCAAAGAAACAAGAGGCTGGTAAGGACCTCACTGGTGCTCCAGCATCTTTCCTGGGGCAGATGCACCGGGAGTTTCCAGGCATTTAACCCCATGGAAAGGAGCCTGGGCAGAAACTTGTGCTTTTGCAGAAGCATTTGGCCCCAAAAAGCAAGCCCAGGCTGTTTCTGTGGTGAGACGGTGCAAAACCATGTGCAGAGATGCTCCTGGCTCGGGCACGGAGCAGCCTGGAGCAGGGATGCAGGATTTCAGGCACGGAGCAGCCTGGATCAGGGATGCAGGATTTCAGGCACGGAGCAGCCTGGAGCAGGGATGCAGGATTTCAGGCACGGAGCAGCCTGGATCAGGGAGTTGCAGGCACGGAGCAGCCTGGAGCGGGGATGCAGGATTTCAGGCACAGAGCAGCCTGGAGCAGGGATGCAGGATTTCAGGCACAGAGCAGCCCGGAGCAGGGATGGAGGATTTCAGGCATGGAGCAGCCTGGTGCAGGGATGCAGGATTTCAGGCATGGAGCAGGCTGGAGCAGGGATGCAGGATCTCCCTGTGTGGTGGTTGGACACACGTCCTCCCGCACCACTCCTGCTGCTTGCTGAAGCACCTGCCAAGGCCAATAGCTGCTTTTTTTCTGCCTAATTTAGACTAAGCCTGGAGCCTCATAGCTCCCCAGCAATTTTCCCTCGCACTGACTCTCAAGTACATAATCAAAATAATTTGGGGTCTGCTGGGTGGGTGCCAAGAGGCGGATGCAGCCGCCGCTGTGTAAAGCCTTCCTGCCTGGGCTTTTGCAGGGGTTTGAAGCTCAAATCCCTTGAGAAGCGCAGGAAGGGCTCTGGAGGAGCTGGGGAGGGCAGGGCTGGGCAGGGTGCACTGGGAGGGTGGGTGATGGTCCCCTCCCCAGCTGATGTGGGTGGGGGGAGCCCAGGAAAGCAGCCCCTCTCGCTGAAATGCCCATCAGCAAACATACCTGCTGCTACTTGTCCTTCGCTGCCTTCTGTTTCTGCTGATATATTTCCTCTGTGAAAGGCCTGTGGTCGGGAATGTGGGGAGAGACACAATGGAGGGGTAAAAGAAGGGGGAAAGAATTAAAATCGAGACCACTGTGTGCTCTCCTTTGGGCCCTTCATCTATTCCTGTGCCATGGCGATGCTCGGCTCCGTCTCTCTGGACCCTGGAGCAGCTCCAAGCTGCTTCCACCCAGGACCATCCCTGCACCGAGTGGGACGAGGCTCAGCACCCACCCGGACTCCCCGGCACGCAGACCAGCCTCAGCTCTGTTTGCATCTCCTCCTCCCTTGCAAACACAAAAGACCTTTCACTGCTGGAGTACAACCGCTGCTTCTGGGAATAATTCTGGGCTGTTCTGTCCTGGGCTGCCGGGCTATTGTGGTGCTAAATATCAGAGAAGCCCATTCAGGGAACTACAAAATGCAAGCTCTTCTTGCAGGGTCTTTTCAGATGACACAATGATCCTCTCATCCTCTCACTGCTTTCCTTATTGCTCTCGTACAGACAATCAGGCACCCGAAAGAAAAAAAAAAATCTCATTTTGATAAAAATAAACAAATAGATAAATGTTCCTAGAACTCAGCAAATAGTTTCAGACAGGAATCTGCCCATTATCAAAACAATGAAAAAACAATCCTCTGTTTTCCTTCTTCCCCGCTGAATTAATTGGAAAAAATCATCTCAGCTTCTGCAGTTCCCTGAAACCTCTGGAGTTAAAGCTGGTAGAAATAATTAGAAGCTCTCCAGCTCTGCAAAGCTACTCACCCCTCGTACTGCATTGCGATTGTGTAGGAAATTGCCACTACAGCTGTCAGCAAAAGGCCAGCTGGGCTTGCATGCCTGTTTTGAAAGAGAGGGAAAAGATCAGGTAAGTAAATGGGCTTATGCAAGACCTGGTTTAGAAAGTGAAATGAAACACTGGGCTCCAGGAGAGCACTCTCTTGCTCATTAAACAGAAATGAACAAAAGGGTTTTTGTTTTTTTTTTTTTACTTAATGTTAACTTAGACAGATGTTACTTGGCAAGGACTCTTCCCCAGCCGACTTTGGTGACTTCTTTTAAGTCTGATCCCTGCATGTCTCTGCTAAGAGAGCTTCTGCTTTGATGCTAAGTCCTGAGATTAGAAGGCTGTTTAATAGCTGAGCAGCTGCTTACGTACGGCCGTGGCTCCCAGCCAGACTATACGGGAAATGCCTGATGTGCACAGAAAGACCGGCCACCCAGGGCGCAGGAGATCTGGCAAACGGAGCAGCGGATGGTATCGAAAACATCGAAACGGTGGCTGAGCCCTCGCAGGGCTGGGGATGGGAAGGGCTGGGAAGGGATGGGAAGGGACGGGAAGGTCCATCCTGCCCTCCAAAGGGTGCTGTCCCAGGGCTGGGTGCGTGGGGGCTTGGTTCACATTTAAACCCTCTTCAAGATGTTCAACACGTCCTGTCACCTCCCCAAGGCTCCTGCTGAGCGGTGTCCCTCAGCACACGGTCAGCAGGCGCAGCACCGGGGACCGATGCCACCCACCCGCTGCATTGTCCGGTTACGGGCAGAGGTGCTGGAGGGCTGGGGATGTGACGGGAGCGGCTGCTCCTTTTAGCACTGACGCCAAAGAATCGGGATGAAAAATATCCTCGTCACTTGCTGCTCTTCAGACAGACGTCAACAGAGGCTGCAAACCTGCACGGCCCACGTGAGGACACTTCTTTGATGCTTGGCGTGAAAACACCTGAGGCAGGTGGTGGCGAAGGCATCGGGGGCTTTGCCAAGGTGCCAGGATTTTGCTGGTGGGTTACAGTCCCCAAACCAGGTGCTGACACCATCCTGGGGTGTGTAAATTCCTCCTGGTGACAGCAGCCACACCAGCACCCGCAAGGTCCCAGCCCCATCTCCCCAGCCAGGAGCGTGGCTGTACCACAGCCCCCCCCAACCCCCCTTCTCCATCCTGCGCCTCCAGCTGATGGCTGCAGGTGTTGCCTTTAATTAGGACACTGCTGATTGCCCTTAATTGCTGGTCGCAGCTCAGCTCTGAGTGGGACAAGAGCTGGCTGTCAGCAAAAAAATGTACTGAGCTGGTCCTTGGTGAGGATAAACATCCTGCAAGCTTTGTGGGAGGGGACTAGTCCTGTCGGGAAAACATGTCTTTAGAGGAGAGAAAAAATTACGTAAACCTGGTTCTGGACCCGCCATCAGGTACTGCCTGGCCACATGTTCCTGGAGAGACACAGACAAATCTTCACCTTTTCACTGTTTCCATTTTGCAAGAAGTTTTTTTCCCTCATTAGGAAGCGTTGGGCAAGTTCTTCCTTTCCCAACCCCCTGCTATTACATGCTTAGTCATGCCTCCTCCTTGATTGGTATCAGAGAGAACAAATTTGCATGATTGTTTGTTGACAGCGAGACCTCTAATTGCATCATTTGGCTGCAGCATCGGCTCTGATTTACACAGCCTGTTGCCGTGAGTTAAAACACTTCCCTAGCAGAGATACACAAAGCTGTCCCCGAACAGCTAACGCTCCGTTTGTCTTTCCGGAGAAACCAGGCTGCTCCAGGTGGGTGATGAGAAGCAGCTGGGTGAGTTGGTTCATCTCACCAGCTTGACCTACACATTGGGCAACGGCTCGTGTCGCAGCAGGGTCGACGACAAGTCAGCCAGGAAGGTTTTGTGGTCTTGGTAGGACTTTTTTGGATAAGAAGTCTGTCCGTCCCCAACCTTTGCTGCAGCTCCCTGTGGTTGCGGGTTGGCTGCAAGAGTGATGCTGGGGGCTCACATCCTTCCCGCCGGTCCGGGGTGTTGGACGTGGGACACCCGCTTTGCCCTTTTCTCCTGGAGCTCCTGTTTTTGCGGTGACCGGTGGAGGTGCCTTCTCCAGACACATTTTTGTGCCGCCAGTGGAGCCAGGGATAGCTGCGATATCCTGCAAGGGAGCAAACAGCAGCCCCACGCCAGGCGGTGAAGGCTGGACCGGGTCGGAGGGCAGGCAGTCTGGTGAGCTGCCAGGCTCGCTGACGTTATGTGGGGTGTGCCCTTACAGATGAAAACAAATCAATCCTTTGGCCTCTGATGCCACGATACAGAGCATGATACATCACTGAGGGAGGATAAATACGCTCTGCGTTCTGGGTCTGACCCAAACCAGACGGCAGAGACATTCCTCCAGCATCCCTCCCACTGCCACGGGGCTGGGACGTTAGCTCTGGCCTCCGAGGGCAGACACTCAACATCTTCTGAAAGCCCGGGGACTTCAGAAGAGACCTAGGACTCCCCAAAAATATTTCAGCAACCTGAGCTGAAATCCCAGGGAAGAGAAACAGCCAAAGCCACCAGGCAGGCGGGCAGTGTCCTGGTGCCACTTTGCACAGCTCCAGCAATTTGTTAACAGCAATTATTTGCCATGCCTGGCCGCCCTTTATGGTAGCAGCCTTTTAACGAGCACAGGAGGCAATTGCACTGTTGTCTGGAGCCATTTGAAGCTGCTTTTGCCCAGGATTGCGGTGGAAGACCAAGCAACGTGCGCCCGGTGTGAGGCTGCTCTCTCGCAGGGGTGAAGAGGGGATTTCTGCGGCAGAAACAGCTCAGGAGGGTTCAGCTGGTTCTGTAAAGGTTCTAGGAAATAGTTCAATGCTCATCTTCAAAAAATAAAAATCTATTTTTAACTTCTCCTGGTCAAATTCCTCATTTTGTGCTGTCATGGGAGTGGTGGTGCCAGTGGTCTCTGGCTGTGGTGTGGTACGGGGGGGCTCATCCTGCCCCAGCTCTGCCCCATCCTCCCCAGCCATACCCACCCTGCCGTCACCGCTGCCAGCCCCTCCCCCACAGCTGGCTCTCCTGCCCGCCACGTCCCCGCAGCGAGCTCACCCCAGCTCTCATGCACCATTTCCCAGGATTTGGACCCAATCCAGCACCGTGGGTCTGGCAGGAAGGTACACAGCCTGGCGCAGCCAGCCCCCATGGTGCTGGGGGGTGGATTTCAAGGGCTCAGTGGAGACAGGAGAGAAACCACCAGCTTGAGGTGTTGCCAGGGCTGCACACATGGCTGAAAAGGTGACAAGAAAGTGGCAAAGCACTTCATTTTTTTTTTCCACCAAAGCAGAAGCGAGGTGGTGATGCTCAGGAGCACCAGCGCAAAGTACCTCGTGCTAACGGCCCGTGATGCTCCGCGGGGTCCCCGTATAACACAGCTATTTTTTTTTTCTCCTGGGCAAATAAATAAAATGTGATATGAAATGAAAACCACATAAAACTTGCTCCACAGAAGAGAGTATATTGCTCATTTGCTGCTAAATGGCAGCCAATTCATCTCCTCCTAAGCAGGCTATTACGGCGTGCTGGATCACACGAGGAGTGTTTTGGAAGTGTTATCACCGTGCAGTGGGGGAAAGGGCATCTTGGCTTGTTTTGTTTTTTCCAGAGGTAATTACAGGGTCACGTTGATCCCCAGTATCACTGCCCTGCCCCTGCCGAGTGGCACCCGGCATGAATTCAGCCCTGGCTGTTGGTTTTTCCACGAGCAGAGCCTGCCAAGGACCTCGTTCAGCTGCAGAGCGTTTGCTGATGCTTCCTCTACCCAGCGCTTGGCCGTTACTTATTTTTCTACAATTAATGCTACGAGCCTTTTATGACAGCAGAAGACTTTGCATGCATGCACAAAAATAGGAGGTGAGAAGTCACAGCATGTTGCACTTTCCCTGCCATTTTATTGCTGCCTGCCATCACCCAGTGCTCCTTTGGCCCCCGATGCAGCCCTGCCGAGCACAGACCCCACGTCTGAAAGACCCGGAGCTGTTGGAGCGGGGCCAGAGGAGGCACAAAGATGGTCCGAGGCTGGAGCAGCTCCCGTGCGGGGGCCGGCTGGGAGGGGTTGG